ACGCAGCGCCCAAACACGAATCAAGGAACATGAAAGGCACTGCAGACTACTTCAACCAGAGAAGTCAGCCATAGCAGAGCACCTGATGAACCAGCCTGGACACAGCATATTATTTGAGAACACAGAAATGTTGGACCACACCAACAACCACCATGTCAGACTACACAGAGAAGCCATTGAAATCCACAAGCATGTGGACAATTTCAACAGAAAGGAAGAGACCATGAAAATGAACAAAATCTGGCTACCAGTATTAAAAAACTCTAAAATTACAACAGCAAAACAACAGAGAGGAAACAACCAGGCACATCTTAACACCTCCCAGCAAGAGATTTTCCCAGGCTCAGGCAGGCCTTCAAATGCTAATGAAGGTGATCAGTTGAAACATTCACACCTAGCTCCAGCAGGGAAGAGCTCCTTGCCCCACCCCAGTCATTCCACAGATATATAAACCCATTTTCCTATTCCAACAGACCTCACTACCTGAGGATGCTTGCCATAGATGCAGGCGAAATGTCAGGAGAAATGCCTCTAGAACATGGCTCTATAGCCCGAAAAAACCCACAAGAACCTAGTGATTCCAGCCATGAAAGCCTTCGACAATACATTAAATCAAGAAATAGTTTTCTTAGATCTACAGAGACACTCGCTGGAACACCTCAGCAAGCGAGAGTTCAAAAGTGGCAGGCTCAAACCCAGAACCTCAATCCGTGGGTGATACCAGATGAGAGACTCCCCCCTGGGCACACAGAAGACTGGGCGACTTGGAAGGCGCTGAACAGACTGTGCTCTGGCACCACGAGATGCAGAGCCAATCTTAAGAAATGGGGTTACAAAGTGGAATCCATGACATGCGAGTGCGGAGAAGAGCAAACCACTGACCACCTGCTGCAATGCAACCTGAGCCCAGCCAGATGCATGATGGAGGACCTTCTTGCAGCAACACCAGAGGCACTCCAAGTGGCCAGATACTGGTCAAAGGACATTTAATCAGCTACCAAGTTTGCAAAATTTGTGTGTTTTTTTAATCTGTTTGTTTGTTTTGTTCTGTTAGAAATGTAATACAATGTTCTGGTTGCGGATGACACGATAAATAAATTTAATAATAATAAATAAAACTTTATTTGTATCCTGCCATCACCTTCCTGAAGGGACTCGGGGCAGCTAACAAAGTACTCAAGGTGCCACACATATAATAGAATTACATATCATCAAAACAATACACAGTTTGATTGAATACAACATGAACAACATCCAATTACAACAAAAACAAATTACCTCAATAATTTAGCCTATTTGTGTTTATGCAACTAATAATCCAACTTCTATCATTTAGATTTTTGAGTTTTTCCTAATTATCCCCCCCCCCCTTCTATATTTCAGATTGTGAATTTCAGGGTTGGTTTCAGTAAGAATTATAAAAATAAAGCAAAGCTTGACATTCTTAAAATGGGCTGAAAATCCAAGGTATTCAAGAACACAGCAGTCAACACAAGTAATTTAGCATTATCACTAAATGACATTATTTTTTGCCTGCTTTTTACAAGTTGTATACAAGATAATATGACTCATCCTCCTTATGCTTCTTACAATGCCTGAAGTGATTACATTAAGAAGGTCATAAAACCTATCTCCTTTCCAGATGGCACATATATTGTTATTTGGTTTTGATTAAGCTCTACAGAAGTGCCCTCCCCACTGCAACAGACATAAAGGACAAACATCCTTTCCCCACAGTGTTTATTATCCAGAATAGATGAATCACAATGTAAAAAGAGACAATAAAAGGAAATGGGATATTTGCTTTTGTGGTTTTTCAAAATGCCCCAAAGACATCATTTCTATAATGCATCACCTTGATCTGTTGCTAAACCTCAGAGGCTCTAGCTTAGACCTAAAACCCACATGTATTCATTTGAATGCAGTGATAAATTTACAAGGAAACTGAATGCCCCAGAATAGTCTTAAGCATTGTTTTTTTTCTTTCATGAAAGGCATCTAAGTGCCTGTTTTATGATCAGTACTTATACTACCTCATATCAGATGATGCATGTATAAGAGGCAAACCCAGGCCAAGATATTTTGGGAGTCCAAGTTGGAACAGCAAATGATAACCTGCCCCCATATAAAGGGAGATAATACCGCTTTGAATCTCCTTTGTGGAGAGAAAAAGCAGGGTATAAATAAACATATTAAACATAAACATCATCATAATAATATTCTCCTCCCGCCCAGTCTATGGTGCATATGTCCCAAGACCCTCAGTGGATGTCTGAAACTGTGGATGTATACTATGTTTTCCCCCTATATATACATTCCTATGGGTTTAATGAAAAGTAATGCCTCCATCTTCATAACTCCTCAACAGATGGCAGTACTGGTATGCAGCAGGTACTGGCTTGTTCAGTAGACTCTCTTCTACAGTTCCATTTTGGCAGAAAGCCTTTGCATTGAATGGTTCTGTGATTAAAGTGCAAAGTATGGAACCCTGCACAGACGGTCAGTCAATGTGACTTAAGCAACCTGCTGTCATTGAATTCTTGACAGCAGAAGGTGTCACTCCAAAGGAGATTCATGAGAGAATGCAAGCTCTTTATGGTGATTGTGTTGATGTGAGTACTGTGCCTCGTTGGGCGAGTAAGTTTAAAGATGTTGAGGTGTCAAACAAAGAGTTGGACATCTTGTGACAGCAACCACCGAGTTTCACAAGCAAAAGGTTGACAGATTGATTCAGGATGATCATCGTATCACTCAGAGAGAAATTTCAAGCATAATCGGCATGTCACAAGAACGTATGGGTCACATTATTGCTTTGCTTGGCTATCGGAATATCTGTGCATGATGGGTACCCAGGATGCTGATTCCTGAAATGAAAGCGCACAGGCTTGAAACTTCAGAGACTGAATCCCACCACTGTACAACATCCTCCATACAGTCCAGATTTGGCACTGTCTCACTTCCATCTGTTCCTGATAATGAAAGAAGATCTGCGGGGACATCACTATGCTTCTGATGAAGATGTTGGGAGAACTGTGAGATGCTGGTTGCAGAAACAGAGTGTCGACTTCTTCCGTGACGGCTTCAGAAAACTTGTTCATCATTGGCAGAAATGTATTCAATTGTCTGGTGAATATGTGGAAAAGTGAATAGTGGCAATTAAAGGGCACATTTTAAGGATTATTTCTGCATTTGATTTATTAAATTATTCCCATCCAGACCCAAGTAACGAAGGTGGAAGCATTACTTTTCATTCAACCCTTGTGTTGAATGAAAGGAGCTGGTAGCTTATACATTGAATGATTCATGTCCTGCAGCTCTTAGCATTTCTCACCAGTGACTATGCTGGCAAAGGCTTTTGGAAGCTGTAGTCAAACAACATTTAAAGGGTGACATTTAAAGTCCTATTGAAACTATTGCAACTGATTTCTGAGTAAACATGACTGGGTTTTGCTGGAGTGTGGAGTGTTATCAGGTAAACAGACAGATTTTTTAAAGGTTCACACATCCAATCTTGGATTTATTGTTGAAGGCTTTCATGGCCGGAATCACTGTTGTAGGTTTTTCGGGCTGTATGGCCATGTTCTAGAAGCATTCTCTCCTGACGTTTCATCTGCATCTATG